AACGAAAATGTGGAACTAAAAGATCCGACTTTTAACAAAAAAATCACAACAAAAAAAACTATTCATCTAGTTAAAAGAAAAGAACAAGAAATAACTATTTTAGAAGAAGAAATATTCCATCTAACTAATTTAATTGATCAACTAAAAACAAAAATAGTAGAGGTTCCCGCTTCCTTACTTGCTGAAAAAGAATTAAAAAGAGAATTAATTCAAGCTCATTCTAAATATATTCAAGCCAAGAAGCAAAACTTTCTTTCTGTGAAACTTGAAGAAGAAAACTATGATGAAGTTAAGAGGAAAATTAAAAACAAAATAGGAGAAGAAGACATGGAAGAAGTTCAGCTTATTCTTAATGACTGTGGAGAATTAATAAGTTTGGAATTAGAACTAGAAAATAAGAAGTTAGAAGAGTATAAAAATCAACGGCAAGAACAAACAACTGAAGTCAGCGAAAACGAAGACATTAGTTTTCATCAAGAGGTTTCTCCTATAGTTTGGCAACATTTTTGAAGACCGAAATAATTTTGTTAATAAGCAAAATACAAGCATTTTTACAACAAATTTGTCTCTACCTAAATAAATCCTCGCTAACTCAACCTTTCCTTTTAATTCTCTTAACTTTTTCTAATAAACTTCTTTCCGATGACCTATTTTAACTATTGAGATTATTAACTCTAAATTTTTTACTTCATAGATAACCCGATAATCACCACACCGATAACGGTAAAGTTTTTTGTAGTCATAAAGCAGTCGTTCGCCCAAATTAATTGGGTCTTGGACTAAATAATTTTCTACTTTGTCAACAATTTTTTCAGCCATGGTTCGGTCAATTTTGGCTAGTTGTTTAGAAGCAGTGTTTTTTCAAACTACTTTATACATTTCAACCTAATTTTTTTTTTAACTCGGCGGTAGTGTAAGTTTTTTCTTTTCGGTCGGAAACTTCTAAAGCATCTTGGATATCTTCCATGTCTTCTAAGTATCTAATTAGGGCTTCTTTGATGTGAAAGCATTTTGGCTTTTTAGTTGTTTTTTTTAGATAATTTAGTTGGCTTTC